TTTTCTCCCGTCTCCATGTTCGCGCGAGATGTTACATATCATGATATCACCAGAGAAACCATTATATATTAGGAACAGCGCTCGATTGATCGATCAACCAACGATTCATTGTTCCAGTAATCCAGACACTGATAGCGATACAAATGGACAATCATAGCGTAAACTGCTCACCAATGAACTGCCATATTATCATTATGTCACACGATGTATCTCAAGTACTCCTAAATCAGCATTCAATATTCAGTTAAATAAACAAGAGTGTCGACCGGCTCCGCTACCCGCTCCAGTGTTTCCATGTCAGTGATGTGATATGATAGAAGTCTCTCCAAATGCTCTCGTGACGGCGCCTACTGATGAAGGGTATGTATATTCTCCACCGGTGGAGCTAGAGTTTGTAGGCACTATCACATCCTGTTCAATGTTATTGTTCTTCTCTTTTTGCTGTCACCTCTACTGTTGACTGTAAGCACTGCCTGTGTAGGTCTCAAACTCAACTGCATATATACTCGATCACTTTCAAGATACTTGCTCTATTTCGATAAGATCTTCCTTTTCTGGGATTGATTTGTACTTGGTGTCCATAATCTTACACTGGGTATCCACATCCATTAGCACCATTCTTAGAGATCACACCACGCTAGCACACGAACGTTGAAATCGCTCGGTAACTTAGTGCAATAAGTGGGGTGGTTGGACTGGAAGCTTCTCCCTAGTGTTTCTAATGTCTGTTAACCACGCCCTTTCCACATTGACTATATATGCGGGTGGTACCCTGGAGAAACACGAGGCGTCAAGTATGGGATAACTTATTAGAACCTCTGATTTCTACATCATGTGTTGCTGGTAAGGGGCCTCCTGCCATCTCGACGGATGAATATTAAAGTACAACGTCGCAACATTGACCAATACTACGTTGGCAATAGACCGAGGCAACCGGTTTCTTGGCAAGCTAAACACGAGAAAACTTCGCGTCTTTCTCTCCTTTCTTGGAGGCAATTACTCTTTATTTTATACGCTCTGTGCGGAATTTCGGTCGCACTTGAACGTCCTATCGTGCTTAAACGGTATTCCTTCTTTCGAATTTGGTGACTGCTACTGCACCCCTTTCGAGGGCTGATATCATGACTAACAAGATACGATCTTGAATTCAGGGCGTCGAGCAGGAAGTCGACTGCACTGACAAACATGTCATCCTCTGAGCCTGGGCGCTCATCGCAGAAAGGTTCAGGCAATGATGGTTCTATGGGGATTATGGATGCGGCTTCCTTTGTGAATAAGGTGAAGGTAAGGATCTCGTTCAAGAACATGCTATCCTCCTTGCACCTCATACTAAGGATTTGCCCACCAGGATCGGTTCGCTGAGCGCCCGGAGCTTTTTAACGAGTTTCTTCTGATCTTGCAGGCGTACCAGCGGGAGTCGCGACCTTTGCGGAAGGTGTATGAGCAGGTCGAGGACCTCTTTGGCGGGGAGCCAGATCTGATGAAGGATTTTAAAAAGTTCCTGCCCGAGACTACAGCTTACGGGCGATAATAGGGCCCATTTTGCTGTCCACCTTAAATGGTCAGTCGGTAGACCACCTTACATATCGTCCGCGGTGCTGGCGTGCTGGATATGTAACATCAAGTGCTCTCTATAGGTTCGAATAACAAATATCCAGGAGCAACTATACGTACTTGGCAAAGAATGCTTCGTAATGTCCCTCTGTATGATGTTAAAAGCGGCTGTGCTATCCACGGTTGGATTGAAGTCTGGGGAAAACCAGAAGACCGAATGATTACGCGTGGTCTAGTGGTCATCGTGATATCACAATCGAATGTGACTCACGATGTCCAAGTTAAACGAGTGACAGTCATCGAGCAAACCTCCATCTCACAGCTGAAATATCACACATAACCTGCTTTACACAAAGACTTCTTCCCGCAACATATTATGACCAGACCCAGTACAGGATGTCCAAATTACCGAAATGTGAGCAAGATTTTCAGGATGAATATGAGAGATGGAAGCGGGAATCTGCAAGCATAAATGATTACGAGGCATGCCAGGGGGCTTTCAAATCGTGGATTGCACCTTTTCTTGAAGAACGCGATTTTGGTTATGCCGCCTTACAGCGGAGGTGCCGCTTGCTGAGTATCAAACCGGTGCCAGGTCCGAAACCTGAAGGTGAATCGCAGGCGAGCCTGCCGAGCTACAACGATGCTTGCAATGAGGGGAAAATGGAGGAAGAAATCGATCAGCTGATGGAAGCATACTGGATGAGCAATAGGACCTTGCTTTCAATGGAGGAAACAATACCTCTGGCTAGTAATGCGATGGAGATTTACCTCTTCCGGACCTTCAACGATCGAGAAGGCCGGCCGTACAGTTGGGTCATGGATCGTGCGACGTGCGCGGACACTGGTGGATGCTGCGGACGTGCTTGTGGCTGTTGCGAAAAGCCGCTGTTGACATACTATCGTCCAGTGGGCTACAGGTATCCCGACAAAAAGACGAAAGTCGGTGTATACGGCCATTGCACAGCTGAATGTCCTTGCTGTATCCAAGTTCTGCACCGCTACCATCCCCATCCGCGCCTTCCAACGTCAGCTTTCTAAGGCTGGTCGGGATGGAAAGACGAGAAGCTGGAAAGTAGGGAAAGTGCAACTCTAGCTTTGTATCTTAAATCTGTGGCTTTGGCACCGTCTCGCATTTTTCTTCCTTTTGCTTAGCAGACGAGAGTTGACCGTTCATTTCTCGTTCTAATATAAAATACCAAAGACTCTCTCTCTCTGACTTTCCTTAATTTCGTTCCCTTTTTTTTTTTTTCTTTTTTAAACCATGTCGTTCACTATTGAACCGAAACTCCTCTGGGTCGTCATCCCCATTTTCCTCGCCTGGAACGTGCTAAACCTCAACAACCCGGTGATGAAGGTGTTCCTTGAATGGTTAAGTGTCCACCTCCAGTCTTGGCTGGAGCAAAGGTGGTGCGTACCTTTCTTCATTTATCTCCTACTCCAGCCCGATTATTGGAAGGCCAGTTGCTGATAGAAAATAGGCCCTTGCCAGCACGGGGGGGTCCGGAGGTCAGGCCAGGTCAGGGGGGAAGAAGGAGAGTGTAGGGGAGAAGAAGGAGAGTGTAGGGGAGAGTGATGAGGAGAGTGATGATGAGAGTGAAGGGGGTGTATGTTAACGTGAGGTGAGTGTAGGGGAGAAGAAGAGAGAGTGGCGGAGGAGGTGGCCAGTGGTGGTGGAAGAGGATGAGGAGGAGGAGGAGGAGGAGGAGGAGAGGCGGCCTGACTCGCCTGATAACGGACCCTTTGCCAAGTTCAAGGACACCTTGGGATCCTGGTTGGCGACTCTGCGGTACGTGTAGTCTCGGAATTCCCTCTTGCTGCCTGAATGCATGCTGATCGATGCTAGACATTGGCGTGGCCTCCGCAGGGAAAGGGATCTGGAGAGGGGGCGGTCCAGATCCTCGAGCCCTGCGGCACGTCAGTCACAGACCCAGACGACCCAGGTCGACGCTCGTGGGGGACCCAGCCCTGGGGATCTTAATGCCATTCTCTCGGGGCTTTTGCAAACCATGGCTGGGGTTGATCCCACGGGTGGTCAAAGTTGAGGATAGGGGGTAACAACCCAGAGGTGTAGTAAGTTCATTCCTTTCTTTTTCCTTTTTTTTTTTTTT